TTTTGCAGACCAAATGATCTTTCTGACGTCAGGATTTTTTAACACCGAAATTTCAACGATATTATTGATTCCAAAAATTATTTAAAAAATTCACTATGCGTAATTTTGCCAATTTCCATGGCAAAATTTAATTATTGCCAAACAAGTAGATTATTTAACAAAACAATTTTTTTATTGATTTTTCACAATTTTTGCTAAAAAAAAACCTTAACCCTTGACAATCGATAGATCATAAGGGGTCACTTTTTAATGTGTGATTTTATTGTAAAAGTTTAAATGCAGTTTTTTTTATTAAATAAAATATTTATATTAAAAAAAAGCCACCTAGTTACAAGTGCAATTTATAGAGTGGCTATTTTTAAAAAACATTTCCAAATTATATTAATTTCAATTGAAAACCTGAATGCTCTGTATTTCCTAATTTGTCTGCTGAAAAGTTAAAAGGAATAGGCTCTGCAGCAACGAAATTGTAAACAGCATTTTGTTTCCTCTTTATCGAGTTCTCCCCTCCAAATACATAGTTCACCACTGAAAATATATAGTATACCTACAAAAAGAAATTCTTCATTTGTAAGTACGAAAAACGACTTTTTGCAACATAAACTAATCAAATTATCTATAGTACAATGTAGAATAACAATAACAAGAAAATTCCGTAGAAATAAAATGTTTAAATTTTTTTGCACATAACAGTGAAAAGAGTTTCGAAAAAGTTCTTTTTAAAAAATTTTGCTTGAATAGCCTTCAAAATTTGCGATATTTATTTTTGAAAAAATTATGTTATTATTAATTAAAATTATATTAATTAATTGAAAGCGCATTTTCAATACCCATTCGTATTTTTTAACCAAAAAAAAAAACTCTAAATATTTTAAATTCTGCAGAATTTTCTAATTCATTTGGTGTCCATTCTACATCGCACTGTATTTCTAAAATCAGTTTTGGAATTATTTATTTCTTGGAAATTTTAAAGTTCTTAAAAAAAAATCCCGAGTAACATTCTTCCCTGATAATATTTCATACAAAAAATCATTCCGAATTTTCATTTGATCATTTGTTAGAATTTGCATTTATATATTGACGATGCAAATTAAAATTAAAATACTTTAGAAAAATTACCTTATCTAGGAAAAAGGGACACACATCCCTAATCTATGACCCAAAATTAAACTTAGGTGTCTCGGTGATTTTTGTCCTTTTAGCGTCCCTACCTTATAATTAAATTATTCATTAGGACCAGATTCTGCAACTTCAGAATCATCCTCCGCAGTATTGCTCAAAATATATAAAAAAAAATTTGGTTTGTATTGGAACCCGCAATTTCACCGTTCACAATGTAGCACAGTATTAACACTATTCTGCTATAAAAGCCCGAGAACATGTAACAAAATTACATCTGCACAATCTATTTACGAAAAATGTTACTTATGATTTGTTCCACACTTCGATGATGATCCCCTCGCCTAATACCTGCAACAAACAACAAATTCACACACTATGTACTGTACTGTGTGCCAAAATTGGCACAGTGAGAGTTTTAGATATATGTTGAGTAAACGAAGCAACCTTTTAAAAACTATGGACCCTTTATGGCTATGACAACTCAACAAATAAAGAAAAGTCCCGAAATTGCTAAAACTTGCAAAAATCTAGCGTTTATAGTACATCAAAAGTTCAAATGTGCCAAATTTGGCACACCAGGCATTCTCGTGTTAATCAGCAGCTTTAAAATTTAAACGGCTAAAAAATTTTAAAAATTTTCTTTTGATTAAATAAAGACAATTCGCAACAAAATTTAAAAAAATTAAGCCCAAACTTTATAATTTGCAATTGTTATATGTATAAAAAAATTATTAAAAATCCATGCTTTCAATGCAAAGTTTCTGCTTTAAAATTGCACTTCATTAGATTAAAATTGTTTGGGCTATAAAACTGCATACCTAGAAATACTTTAAAGATAAAGAATAAAAACTGTGAATTTTTTATGGAAATTTATTGAATTTTCCTAAGTTTTGAATACAGGCGGATCTCAATAGCATGCGCCTTACGTATGTATGCGTGCATTTGACAGAAAAAATTAATATACACAATTTTATGGAAGCACCTACTTGACCAAAAAATTTACTTGGAAAAGATTGTGCATATGTAAAAAACTTAACACGTGATCACTTTATATACACACATACATATGTATGCCATTATCAAATATTCACCTAAGAAAATTTAAGTAAATTCTTCCTATTTGTGTTTTACTTTACTTGCCAAAAGTTACCGATATTCCTATATGAATTATGCTTTGCAAATTTGTTATTCATAAATGCGCAATTTGTATGTTAATTTAATTAACGAAATTGCTGTTAGAAGCACACTTTAGGCAATCAATATACCAACACACGCCCATGGCTCAATTATGCTACATTCATGTAAATTTATATGACACTTTGCCTACACATAAACTTATTGCAATGCGACAACGTGGTGCAGCAGTAACCTCGTCTCTCTATGCATGTCGACGGTACTTTGGCAAAACTTCGTATCTCAGAAATTACTACTATCAAAATAGGCCTTAAAATACTATGGTTGGTTGGTTTAAGTGCATTCTCACCACCCTGGTGACAAGCAATTAGCAAGTTTGCCATTCTGATTACACAACTCGTGCAACCTACAGCCATTTGGCGGTTTTAATAAATTTCAGTACATCATGCAGAGAGAGGCAGCTGCACTCTGAAATATTCTGCAGGAATTGCTGGCCGAGTGTTCGACTGTCTCTTTTAAGACCGGGTAATCGCAACTGCGGCAGAACCTACTTAAGGGCAGTCCTATCCTTTTCGTATGTCCCGGGACCCATATAAGAGTAATTTCGTATTGATCAGAAATATAGGGCAGCAAACGTTTCGGCCTGGAAAATGCTTGCCTAGTCTGGTAGGTGGAATGAAAATCCAGCACCAACTCCGCATTCCATCTTTGACCCTGCAAGAACCAGACATTTTCCTGATTCCGGTCACTGTGGCTTGAGAATTTTGTGTGCGGTTTATGGTGAACCCAAGTCTTCGACAGGATATACTCTGTGGGCAGCGCTTAAATTTCAGACGGTACTGCGTATAGGCATGGCGCTGTTAGCAGCTGAATTTTCGATAAAGATATCTATGGGTAATAAGTCAAGAAGGACGTTCAAAACGTCCTTCGGACAGGATCTCATTTTACTTGTTACGATAGCGGATGCTGACCTTTGAATTCCGCCTAGCTTTTTAATTACGTAATTCTCTTTCTAAGGGCTGGCCAGCCGACCGGCGCCTCGTAAGAGATTATAAGTTATACTATAGGCGTGTACATCCAGTGCACAATTCTTGGTTTAAAACCCATCTGTTGCCCAACATTCACTTGGCTGCATAGGGAGCCACCGTGGCTTTCCTATCACGCTACTCAATGCTTGGTTTCCAGTTAAGTTTGGGATCCATAATAACTCCAAGGCATTTCACCTTGTTTGACAGATCCAGTTCCGTTCCTGGGAGGGAAGCTTGATATAGTAAAATGAGGTAATTTTGTTTTATTTGTGAAAAGCACACGGTCAGTTTTCTCAGGGCTTACGCTAAGAGAACAGCTTATGGCCAAGGAATCTACCATCTTTAGAGCCCTTTCCATAATCTCCCGAAGGAAACTGACCTGACACCAGTATCGCTTCATTGTCGGCGTAAGCCACCGCCTTGATTATCTGAGAGTCCAGCTTTACCAGTAGTTTGTCTAAGACCATGAGCCATAGTAACGGTGATGTCACCCCTCCCTTTGGGGTGCCTCTCACTGCATATACGGTACCCCGATTCGGCATGTATTACTCTGCTTCTTAGCAGAGACACTATCCAAGCTGGGACACAATGATCAATCCCTGTTTCCATAAGTGCCTCATGGATGGAATCTACACTGACATTATTAAAGGCTCCATCGATGTCTATAAAGAACGCTATTGTAAATTGCTTATAGTAGAGCGAACTCTCAATTGTACATACCACTTCACGTAGGGCAGTCTCCGTTGACTTCCCTTTCAGGTACACATATCGAGGGCATAATAAATTGGACGTCTTGTCCTTAACATACAGATCCAACAGCCTCTCAAAGGTCTTGAGCACAAACGACATTAATCTTATGGGTCGGAAATCTTTAGCTTTGTCATGGCCCCGTTTGCCTGCTTAATTAATAAAAATTATTTTAATTTTCCTCCAGATTAACGGAACGTGGTTCAATATTAGGTACCCTCTAAAAACTGTTTCTAGGACGGGAATGACCATCTCAGAAGCTTTCTGAAGCATGGTAGTATTCCGTCCATACCCGGTGATTTAAAGGGTGAGAAGCTGAATATGGTAATTTTTATCTTTACCCTCTCCAGTAGCTCCTCGAAGAAGTCCTCGAATAGGGTTGGTGTGGGGCATCGGTTTCCACAACATCGATTATGCACACTGGAAAATGTGTACTCATAAGGATATCCAACGACTCCCCATCCGACTCGGTCCATGAACCATCTGACCTTTTTCTTTATGTTGGCTGTGAGTACCCTTTGGCAAGGATTTTGCTTAACCTGGCAGATTCCTTGGTATACAGATTCGCGAAATTCCCTCCTTGGCGTCTCGTATCGCTCTTTTGTATTTCTTTAGGTTCTCTCTGTATAGGTCCCATGCCTTATTCCTGTAGCACTCCTTGAAAGATTTCATTATGCTATGATTCAATATATATTATATTTTTATCCTGATCAAAAAGTTATAAAAAGCTTTTTATTGTTATTTATGGAGAGTTTTTTGTGTTAGAGAGTGTTGCTAGAGTGTTTTGAGATACGAGGTTTTGCCAAACTACCATCGATATCTATGTACGTACAAATTAAAAAAATTCCTGCAATAACCCGATCACGTTAAATATGCAACAAATTATCCAAGGCACAATAAAAAATTTTGGCGAATTTTACGCGCCATTTCATGTAGAAATATTTAAAATTTTTTTTACTTCTTCAGATCATGAAGACATCATTTCTGTTGTTAGTTGTTGCTGTTGCTGTGGCCACACTCTGTTGTATTGGTAGCGTGGATGCACAGCGCGGCTTACCACCGCCTCAAGCGCGCGGCTATGAAGCCAATGCAGTGATACTGAAACAGGGCTTCGATTTGAATCCAGATGGTTCATACACATACAAGTAAGTGAGTGAGTGTAGAGCAAATAAGTGCAACATGTGCATATGTGAACTTTAAGCAGCAAATATTTAATCATTCGTCAAATGTAAAAGCATTTGCAAGAAATTAATTTATTTAAATTTATTACCTAGCATTGCTTTATCTTAATTGAATTGTGAAATTGGGTGATTTAATCAGTGGAAATAGTTATTTTGCTGTTGTTTTACATTACTACACTACATAAATACATATGTTAGTTTCCTTAATCCATTCTATCTGCTTTGCAGCTATGAAACAAGCAATGGCATACGCGCCGATGAAGCGGGCTATTTGAAGAATCCGGGTACACAGGTGGAGGCTCAGGTGAGTTACAGATTAGTGCCTTAATTAGCATAATGGGGTAAATAAGCGGCTGCGCATGAGCAGTGCACAGATTAGTGAACTTCCCTCAGGAGTTTCTAGGCGTGCTGCTAACAAGTTTTATTTGTTCGTATAGAAAATTATATTGTGCTGGATTGCAGCATACATTTAGGCTGGTATTAAATAAATATCACGTTTGTACGTAAACGATATGGAGCTCAGTTTTCCACGATTACTAAATACATAAAGAACGCAGGAGTTTGGCATGTTCCTGATTTCTTATTATTCGGCGAACTCGATTGTCTAAAGGTTTCATTGCCATCATTTTTATTCGAATTTTCTAAAGACTAATACACCAATTAACCGTTAATATTCTGAGTGAAATTTAAATCGATTTTTATAAAAGTCAACTGTTTAGCTTTTTCACATCTTATTTGAAAGATTCCACCACACCCCGTTAATCCAGTAGAGATGTCTAAAAATGCCAAAAACGTGTGTTTTGCCACTATTGAGTAAAAATATCGTAAAAAATTTAGCCAATCTAATATTTCTAATTTCAGATTCTGATTTTACGGAAAAATCCTATAACTCACTATAAATCACTTTCCGTGCCGCTAACATTTTTTTGAAATTTTTTGGCTCAATCGATTTCAACCAGGGACCGAGAGCGCGTTCCAGTTTTGGTTGAGTTCGGCAAGAGAACGAAATGTTATGTCAAGAACGTTCCCACAAAAGAACCAAATGGGAACCAACGTGTTGAGAGCAGTTTGAACGCGAACAAAATGCTAACAAAAGGTTTGGGAACGTTTCTGTAAAGAACAAAACGCAAACCAAACTCTCGGGAACGTCCTCAAGAAAAACATAAAGAGAACGAAACTTTCGGGAACGTTTCCAATGAGAACAAACTGAGAGCGAAAGTATCGGGAATGTTTACAAGGAGGATAAAATAATAACAAAGGTCTGAGAAACGTGCTGTTAGAGACCAAAACGAGAATACAACATTTAAAAACTTAACGCTAAAAATGAGAGGGATCATTTCAACCTCCACATCGTTTATCATTAGGGCGAACTGTGTATATATGGAAAAAAATTTAATTTTTTATTCAAGAAAAATTCGTGTCTTAAGTCTTTTGTTTACTTTATTTGCATAATTAGTTTTGAGTTATTTTTTGATTAATTTCAATATTCAAATATTTCTAACTAATAAACGCTATGCGAAAAATTTTGTTCGCGCTTCCATTCTTCGCGAATATCACAAAACATTTGTTCCCGTTTTGTTCTTTCTTACCAAGTTCCTGTGACTTCATTTACCAAATTGTTCTACAAGAGAAAGTTCGTTAGACTTTTGTTCCACTTAAGTCTTTTCCAAATCTTTACGGAGACTTTTGTTCGTATTTTTTGCTCTTATAAATGCTTCCGAAAGTATTGTTCACATTTTGTTCTCTTTGAAAATTATCCACAGGGTTTTGTTCTTATATGTATAATACCCATTGAGAAGGTTCTCGACAGTTTTGATCTCATTTTTGTTTTGTCTTTAAGCGTTCTTGCGAACAAAACTTCGAGAACGACATTTAGTTTTATTAATTTTAGTGCCAAACGAAATATGTTTAATGGTGATTTCGTTTATACCAAAAAATTTTGCCCTTACACGGTTCAAAATGTGTTTGATTGTTACACTCAACCCTGTAAAAATTGGCATATTTTTGCCTTCTTGCCCTTGTCCATCTCAAGCATTTCATAATATTATAGATTTAAGCAACCATCTGATTTTCAGGACAACCATCTATCCTGACAAACCTTCAAAGGGCAGAGTACGAGTTTTGCCTTATAAGAGTGTGATATTTTAAGAAGCGAACAATAAATTTTCTCACCGTTTGCTCTTGCTTTAGAATCGAATACGAAAAGAGAAAAGGGCAATCAAAATGCGAAATTTTTTGGTAGAAAAGAAAACACCATTAGTTAAAATTTGGCAAAAACATCGATCTTGTCGTATGCTATAATTTGTATCCCAGAATTTCCAGGAAAGAGATATATCGAGACTGACTCGATTAAGATAACTATCTGAGTAAAGGGATCGAGCCGCGCGCAAAAGCTAGTATAATACCTACTATTTTGAACTTTATTAGAAATTACTTAGTTTTAGACAAAGGTATATTAACTGATTTTTGGTACCCTTCCACTGTTCCTTTCTACTTACTTTTACCTTTCATCTCTTCTCCACTATAGTAAATTTCTTATTATCTTCCAATTTTAGGTCATGCAAGGTTCTTACTCTTACACCGGTCCCGATGGTGTTCTCTATACAATCACCTACATAGCCGATGAGAATGGATATCGTGCTGAAGGTGCACACATACCAACACCGCCACCACCACGCGCTGGAACAGGTGGCAGGTTCTTCAAATAAGATCTTAAAGAACTAAAAACAAAAACAACCAATAAAGCTCTTTCATTATTGCATACATGCCTACATATATAATACGTACGAAATCATACAATTGAAACGTGATCAATGCTAATTAACGTGATATTTTGCAACAAATACAACAACAAGAAAATAATGACACAACACAAAAAAATGAAATCAGCAGCAACAACAACACAATGTACCTACACATACATACATATGAAGAATGCAATAGCAACACAAATCGGAACAGGATTGAGCTATACTCGAGGCTAAATGTAAAATCTTACTTCGTGCTAGGATTTTCAAAGGATTATTCACACACTTTTTCTACTAACACACACTCACATATACTCAACTTTATTTAAGTTCTAGAAGCTGTATTCTTACTATTGGATTGCATGTGATTTTTCGCTTTCAGCACTTAAATATCTATCGACATTTTGTAACCTTTATTTTTCAAGTTTTAATCCTTTCATTCCTTCCAACTTTTTACCTAATTCGTGTCCACATTTCGTCCTTACGCGCGCTACCAACTTCCGTGGCATCAGCGTCTATGGCGAATACTCATATTTTGCTTTACTTTCTACTAACATCACCTCTTCTACATACTCAAGGCCAACGCGCTGATGCCTCAATACAGTTAATGCATAAACAAATGTACCTTATTTCTACTTGCAATTTAATTATTTACACTTACTTACATACATAAATGATTTGTAATTTAAAACGCTATTTTATATATACATACATCTGTATTTATCGATTCTAGTAGCTAAGCAAATTATGTATTTTGAATATTTACGAATATTTGCTAAAACGTGAGTGATTACAAAAGATTTTCGATTTCTTGTAAGTACAGCAATCAGGCAATAAATAAATTGCGTAAAAACTCATTAAGTTGGACTTTTACTCGGCGCAGCTTTACCGCTTGGCAACCACCCCATCACTGGGCTAAATAAACCATCGTTACAATGGCGCATGCGCAGCTAAACATTTCCTCCGTCGCACACTACTTCTTCAACATTACACTTGAAAGACGCCGCGGTAAGTTACACTGCATTTGTGCTGAAAGTCGCGCACTGCAAGCTTTGTTTTTGGGCGGACTATTGGAGCGCGATGCATTGCTGCGCATTGATAACCTACTGAGGCTTTTCTTGTTCGTTAAAGGTGGTAGTGTTAGTGGTGAGAATGTCTTTCTGGGTCCTAATTGGCGTTGCTGCATTACTTCCTCAAAGCTCGGTTCCTCGTCGAAGATCACCGTCAGTCGTAGTTTGCACGAGTATTTGTTTATAAAACGCATCATCTTAGCTATGGGCTGTATTTTGTATACGGGTTTCACCTTCGGCTGCAGCTCTGTCAGGCGATACAAACGCCCCTTGCAATGCGCTGTCCTATTCAAAGTGCCATTCTTCACATTCAGCTTTGACGACACTATTATGACGAAGGTCGTTGTGCCGCTAGGCGAGAGTATGTCCTCCGGTTTCATCGAATGGCGCACATGTAACAGCCGCAGCTCATACTTAACTTGACGCAGGTTGCGGTTGATATAGGCATTGATGCGTTTCTCAGCCAGAAATACTGATGAAATTGGATCGAGTGGTTTCTCTATTGATTGTCCATATTTGCGATAGGCCGATATTGTATAGGCCAGCAAGACGCATAGCACAAATACGCCAAACAAGGAAAATAATATTTGCCAAAGTAGAATGTTGGTGGCCGCTTCGATGGTATAACGTGGCGCGTGTACCAAATAGTCATTAACGATTTCCACGTGAAGCGCATTACAGTCGTTAAGCGACAATCGATCCGGATGTATGCTGATTGGTATCTTTTGATTAACCAATGATCTTTGACGATTGATAAATATGAACTTGTTCAGTAACCGCCAGAAAACTGAACCGCGGTTCCTTCGCAAAATCAATTCAGTGCAATGTTCAGTGGCTTGATGAAACCAGCTAAGGCATGTTGAACTCAGATCCAAATCCGGATGTAGCGCCCTACAGAAACGTTCCATTAGTGGCAATAACGACAACTGCGCTCGGGTGAAGAGAAGAAAAGGTATATAAAGGATATATTAACTGAGTACAAGAGTATTGGTAACCAGCTGTTGGCCATTGGTACTTACATTTTCCCTGCGATATTTTGTGTTTGTTGTTCTATGCATTACCCATTTGACAAGCTTTTTAAAAATAAATATACAAAATATAGAGTGTCAAAACAAGAAACGTAGACAAAATACTGAGCAGTTGCCATAAAAACCGATTATCATTTAATTCGAACAAGTTGTGTTCTAGCAATTCATAACAGGAAATCAAGTTAAATTAATTTCTCTAGCTCTTGCATTAGAACAAATTCAGCACATACTCAAATCCTCAATTTAAACTTAAACTATGATGCATCATGAATTAATCTAATAAAAAAAGGTAAGTGCACCTGGGCCACACTGGAGAAGTGAAACTTAAAATCAATTAATAATCGATTACAAAATCGATTAATAAAAGTTAACAAAATCGATAACAATTCGATCAAAATATCGATAGAAAAATCGATAAATAATCGATAAGAAAATCGACAAATAATTGATAACAAAATCGATAAATAATCGATAACAATATCGATAAAGAAATCGTTCAAAATGTCGATTAAAAAATCGATAACAAAATCCATAAAAGTATCGATAAAAATATAGATTATTATATCGACAAGTTCCGAAAATAGCGATAGCAAAATCGATAAAAATTTCGATAACAGAACCGATAAAAATATCTATTATTATATCGATAAGTCCCGAGAATCCTGAAAATCTCTAAAATCCCAAAATAGTTCCCACTTTTATTAGCATGTTTATGTTGAATTAATACCAAGTACATCCACTCATGAAGCACTTGTTTCAGATCCAACCATTTTCTTTGCACCATTTCCGTGTGCAATTTCCATTTAATTTGCCAATTTACTCCCAACCAACCAACCGCCGCTAAAGAAGTTTCACTTAATAATAATATATTAAAAAAATGGACATTATATGTATGTATGTAAGTACATATGTGGATAAATAATGGACTGAATGATAAATCTGTACAATATGGTCATGAGAATCAAGCTGCGTTTCATGTGTGGAGGAGTCCAAGCATTAGCATCCCTCCGTACGACATGACTTATCGCGTGCAACCGCTGTGCATTGATCGCGCATCATATCGATTTCATTGTAAAGCTCATACACTCCATTATTACATCCATGATAAAAAAAATAGGAAGGTAGAACCGCTGAGAGGAATTTTTCACACTCTTGACGTTTGCAAACAATTTAATTTTAAAATTCTACACACAAACTCACACACACATTCTCATTTTCAATCTCAAACAACAACAACTTTGAACAATTCCTTTTTTTTACTCTCAATTTTATATGATTTTAAAATGTTGGCAAACTTCAAAAAAAAAATCATAGCCGACGAATTAAGAGAACGGTTTTACCTTACTATGTTTTTATCATGATTACCTCATCTACGGTACCCAATCTAAACATACATGTATATTTTTCTGAGTGTATAGATTTTGATTGGAGCTGAATTAGAGAATGCACACATAGCAAAGTGTTTCATTCAGCTGTAGGCTAATTCAGTCACTGTTGCCAACTTTAGAGTTTGAAAAAGCACCAAAACTTGGAAAACCGCGTTTTACCGCACTAAAAGCACAAACTTTTTTTTATGATATGATACTTTTTTCATAACAGTTTGTATTTAACAAAAAAAAGAAAATAAAAAATAATTACAAGTATTAATCAATACACAAAACTTTTTCGATTTCATAACGATTGAACAGCGATGATTACTCATGCTGCGAAGTAACACCGAAGTACTGCACATTAATACTGGTATACATATCTCGAGAAAGAAAACCCGAATCGCACCAAACCAAAATGAATTTTAAAGGGGAAGAGTAATACTAAATGATGCCCTGAGTAGAAAAAAAAAATTTTGTTTTCATAATATGATCTCAAATAACGCCAAAAGCCGTGTTTTTAGTACTTTCAGGTTAGGATATCTCACGTGCTAAAGCAATCTGCAGCCATATTTGGATTCAGCACCAAAATATCTACAAAATACGATGTGTGGTACAAAAGTCAAAATTTGTCGAGCTGTGCAATCAATCCAAATATGAACAAATAACTAGAAAAGAAATAATTAACTTACCTGCGTACCAGCATTTTCAACGCAAATACAATTAAAAAAGAACGTGGGTTTGCAACTTCAGCTTTTTTAATAATCATGGTTGCATTTTAGTACATTTAAATGTGTAGATTCTTGTAAATTCAGTGCCACCACAGCTTTAAATATTTGAAATAATTTTATGTTTTAAATATTTATGAGAAATTTGAGTTCAGAAGAAGAGCACTAAAAAAGCACTAGGCACTAAAGCATTTTTTTTTTGCTTTTTAATTTTCAAAAAGCACTAAATCTTGTGATTAAAGCACCAAGTTGGCAACTATGCATTCAGCATTGAATTCTGTTTACCTCAGCATTCTCACTTTTTCATTCAGATACATATTTTTACCACCTTGCTGTGTGAAATCACTTTTTTTTGGAATGATTGCAGAAGGAAAAAATATAAGCCACAATACCAGCCAAAAGGAAACAGAATGAAATCATACTTGTAAATATTTCATGATTAAAAATTTTAATTTCACAGCTACACAGCTCTCCCTGGTATACATACTAATAAATGCAGCCGATTTGCTGGCGAAATTGCCTTTTCTTTCTGAGCTGCATACACTTTTGCACAACACAAACATTGAATTATATTAATTGAAAGCCTTATTGAAACACATTTGCACAATAAATATTTAATTTTTATTATTGATTTATTTAACCTTTTCACTTGAATCTAAAGACGATGCGAACGACGATTTAAGCATGTAGAACTAGGATACGGAACTGATGACGATAGGAACACAGAGAGGAAGTATACTAAATAGGTTTAAAATAATTATTATCTTTTTTTCGATTTCCCATTAAAACCAGCTAAGACACTAACCAAGAGTATTTTGCGCAGCGAAAATTTTGTAAACACAGGAAGTTACATATGCCAAAGAACTCTCTCTGTGGTAGTAACTTCTGTCACTGTTTTTTTGCCACCCTGTGAACTAAGTAAATCTAATTGGATTGTGTCATGGCTAGATTATTTTTGAAACAAGTTTAATAAATTTAATGAAAATGCAGATGTATGCTTTTCCACTCTGTGTTCGTAACTTCAAACGTTCCGTTTCCTTAGTCGTATTTACGCCATCGCACAGTGGACGATTTGGCTGATCTAGCGTAATGAAATTAATAGCTCAAAATATATAGAAAATTTCAGAAAATTGGTAATTTTTGTGTCAGATTAACCCAAAACGGAACAAAATAACATTTTTTTTTTGATAATTTGATTCTTTTTTGTAACTTATTTTTTTTTACTTTGTTGTATATTGAAAAAAATTTACTTGGAGTCAGTTCTTCGAATCCAAATCGGATTAAAACTATAGAAATTGGTTAACCTGGTCCAAAGTTATGCGATAACATACATACAAAAAATAAAAATACAAAATGTTCCAACGAATTGATAACCTTCTCCTGTTTTTGAAGTGTGTTAAAAAAATTAGTTTTTAAAATTTGTCAACTGAAGGTGCGCTTATAATTTTGATACGGGTGTATGTACCCTAGGGTTGCCAACCGTACTATAATATATATTATTGTACTAGTTTTTGGGGCTGCGTACTTAATACTGCTGGAAAAAAATATAGTATGCAAAAAGAGCAAAAATACTATATTTCTTCAATTGTAAATATAAATATATTTCAGTCATGTGTAAGAAAGAAATATTTTAAAATTGATGACATTTATACTGAAATATCAATATTAAAAAAAAAAATTCTTAGAATTATTTCGCTTTTTGCAACTTCGGCATTCTCAGAAATAGTTGTTTCTATTAAGATTTTGAAATGGTGAGATCAGAGAAATAAAGCGAATATCTCACTAATAAAAAATTAACTTTTTATTTATATTAATTTAAATACTGACAGCGATTAAGCATATGATACTTTCAAAGAAATATATTTTTTTGTATAGAGGAAATGCATAAGAAAGAAAAAATATGTACACTTAAAAGCATTTTTAATTAAAAAAAAATACTATATATATTTGAAGTGTATTATATTTTAAAGATTTTTTTGAAAAAGTACTATACATTTCTTAGAAAATGTTGGCAACCCTAATGCACCCTGCAGCATCCCTCCAAACTGGTTCAGCACTTGCGCTGAGCTAGCCTGAGAAGGGACGGCACTTGTTCTTCATCTATCCCAAATCAATCCCTTCAACTGTCTTTTTTAACATGGCGATGTCCAACGAAGTGACTATTGTCGCCCTCTGCAGAACTTTTGAACTTGGTCTGAGCTGACTCTGGCTTAGATGGTTCTTAGATAATTCAAATAACAACAGTTCCTAGATAGATCAAAAAGACTCACCTCCGGACTGGAAAAAATGTGGTTAGTTTTGAGCTGGTACCTAGAAATATAGTATGGAGCCTTTTCTTTAACTACTGTAATTAAAAAAGCACGCATACAATTTGTTAATAAAAAATACTTCATTTTATTTTTAAATAGTTATTTGTTTTGCACTTATTTACTTTTTGAGGTAAACTGTGCTTTTAAACTAGGAATATAAAGTGTGGGTTATTCCTTCACTTTCTAAAACCGTTGTTCTTTAAAATAATTTATATTTGTTATATATAATGGGTATTTCTGTGTTACCTATATTTAAAAATCTAAGTCGTGAGACATAATGAGAAAAACGTTGATATATACATAGACTGTCCGGCATCGAATTAAGAATATATAGAATTTTGAATATTCACAATGGTTTTCATGTTAAAGATTTTGCGTACATTTTTTTTAAGGGGGGCTCATATTATAACGTAATAATTTAAATTCACGTTTCTAACAGCGTTGGAAATTTAATAGAATTCTAGGAACTGTTATAAAACTTTAATATTTTAAATCAGAGTATATAAGTGAATATGCAGTTCTATAGCACATAAAATTTTACTATAATTAATCACGTTGATTTTTTATAACTCTTTTTACGCACGCTCTTAACGGTATTCTCCTATTTAATTATTTTCATCTCAGATAAAAGGTTAAACTTTACTACACTAAAATTGTATGGGCTTTAAAACTGAATACTCGAAATATTTATAAAAACTGATTAAAATGTTCGAAATTTGATGACAGTTTTTAGAGTGCTATCAAGTTTGCAACAACAATTAAAAGGTTTATGGAATATGCTTAAAAAAACTTAACTAAAAATATTTAAAACTAAAATTATTGGAAATTTAAAAAAATCACCGCATAAATACACATTTCGGGTGCTGGGTCATATCAATAGCACCCCCATTTCAAAGTGAGATTGTTTACCACTTTTGTTTATTCTTTTTTATCTGGGTCTATATGATTTTGTCTTAAGCATGAACTTTTTTTATAAAATAATAATAAACAAACACTAGCTCTCAATATATTATGAATACTTAAAAAAGAAATGGTATACGGAGACTTTTGCTGTTAAGTGTAGCTTGCCAATAACGACTTTTTTTAGAAACATTTTAGCCGTTGCGCCATAAACTAGGGAATTACATATTAAATAAACGAAAATTGTTTGCTATTAGTTATAGGGTCTAAGAAAATCGAAAAAAATATAGCATGGTATATTTGTGCATCTTTTGTCAGCTTTCACATGACCAGGATGAGTAACATTGATGACAGCGCAACTAGCGCCACATTAGTTTCAACCGTCCAGCTCTGCATCCCTTTTGCAGTAGTTCAGAGACAGTTCTGAAATTTGTAGGGCGGAACAAGCTCTTTGCCAGACTGTCTCTAAGTTTTGCTACAGGGTATGTATATGCATCGCCTTCACGTATGCATACGGCAAATCAAAGGGTGAGTCAAATGAAATAGTTTTGCTAGTACATGCTTATCTAAAATTACAAAATAGAAAATTAATTTGCATTCATTTTTTATGCGGTTTGTGTCTGAACTAAATCGAATAAGTATTCAAAAATTAAAATATGATTTCCTTCCTCCCTGTGTTTGTGCCATCTTCAATTCCGTATCCTCAGTCGTATTTTAACTTTGGTAAGTGTTTGCTACTCGGTTTTCTGCGCTTCGGTTCGGTAGTGAAAAGTTTTATTAAATTGTGATTTAAATTAAGTATTTAAATGAAAAATGTGTTTTGTTAAGTGCTTATAGTGTAGTGAAGTTATAATGTATGCACGTACTTGACGAGGTCTCACATTTCTACGCTTCTCAATTGCCCTCTAATTTGGTCAAACGAACGGGTGAGTCCCAGAAAATATTTTATACATTTTACATTTTTATTGGACCTTACCACATACATTCCTCTGCCTTTATAGCGCCCTCAATGAAACCGTATTCAAAAGCAAACCAAATCTGCTAATTTCATTCGAAATTTGTTTAACAACTATTTTGCGCGATTCACCGAAATGGGTGTCAATAATGAAAGTCAATTTATTATAATAATAATTCAAATTAAAAACTGTATTAAGAAAACAAGCTCATTTTGACTTCGCATTAATAGAACGATGCGTGTATACGTATTTTCTAAACGATGTGAGAAATTAAAAACCGATTTAAAAAAGCTAATGTGAGTAAATACCAGTGTGACCAGTCGATCACAAAAAGCGAAGCTAAATTTGTTTTGAAAAAAGGTTAGAATAAGTTATACCCTGTGAAAATGAAGTTAAAAAGAAGTCAGTATGTTCATTCCTTAAAAACTCTTCGCCAATTAGAATAGTTTCGCGAACCCGATTTTCAGCTGCTGGCCATTGGTACTTACATTTTCTCTATGACATTTTTGTTTGTTGTTCTATACATTACCCATTTGACAAGTTTTTTTTTTTTTAAATAAATATACATGAGACGGAGTGTCAAAACAAGAAAAGTAGACAAAATACTGAGCAGTTGCCATAAAAACCGATTATAATTTAATTCGAACAAGTTGTGTTCTAGCAATTCATAACAGGAAATCAAGTAAAATTAATTTCTCTAGCTCTTGCAATAAAAAAAAAAAAATATTTCAACACATACTCAAATGCTCAATTTTATGGAAACTAAAATCATGATGCATCATGACATAACTCTAATTAAATAAATATTCAAAACATGTATGAAAACTCAACTACGCTGGCGTGAACGCATTTTTTAAAAACCAAAATTGAATTTTTATTGAAATGAAATCTACTTTACCTGTGTTTCGCCAGAAAAAATAATTCACCGGAAAATTGGATCTTCCGCCCGTAGTAAAAACATGGAAACCAAAAGTGAAAATTAAACTCATGATAAGGCTGTATAATTTTTTTAAAAACTGTCACAATTGAATATTTTCGGTTTGCGGATTTTCAGAGTACTAGAATTGGCCGCAAGTGAACGGGAATTTCTTTTGCAAGATAAGAAGCGTATTCAAAGATTTTTTTTTTTATAAAGTTCAGTATATGAAGAGGGGTTGTATCCCGATCATGCACTTCAAATAGTAGCATTTGCACCTCGCTGCACATTC